ATGAAAAGAAAAGGAACAAACAAGGAAGGAACTTAATCTTGACTGGAAAGTGAAGGGTAGGCTACTCTTTTTTTTTTTGAGACAGAGTCTCACTTTGTTGTCCTTGGTAGAGTACGGTGGTATCACACAGCTCACAGCAACCTCACACCTCAAACTCAAGGGTTCAAGGGATTCTCTTGCCTCACCCACCTGAGTAGCTGGGACTATAGGCACCTGCCACAACACCTGGCTATTTTTTTTTAGAGATGAGGTCTCACTCAGGCTCAGGCTGGTCTCGAACTCATGAGCTCAGGCAATTCACCCACCTTGGCCTCCCATAGTGCTAGGAATACAGGTATAAGCCACCATGCCCAGCCAGGGTATGCTACTCTTAAGGAAGTAAGGTTTGAGCTGAGATCCAAAGGACGTGATATTTTTCTTTTTTTTTTTTTTTTAGAGACAGAGTCTCACTCTGTCACTCTTGGTAGAGTGCTGTGGCATCACACACAGGTCATAGCAACCTCCAGCTCTTGGGCTTAGGTGATTCTCTTGCCTCAGCCTTCCGAGTAGCTGGGACTATAGGCACCAGCCACAATGCCTGGCTATTTTTTGTTGCAGTTTGGCTGGGGCTGGGTTTGTACCCACCACCCTCAGTACATGGGGCCAGTGCCCTACTCATTGAGCCATAGGCACCACCCAGGACATGATATTTCAAAAGCATCTCATGTTCCACATGTGGAAGGTCAAAGAGTACTTGAAACTTGTCACTCTTCCAAGTGTTTCCTAGCTCAGTGAATGGTATCATGTTATGCAGCTTATAAATATAGGAGGCATTCATATCTGCCTCCCTTGTGCCCATTATCCAAACTATCACATAAGCATCAAGTAAAGGAAAAAGCATTCTAGGCAGAGAACAACATACACAATGTTCTTATGTTGAAACATAACATGGTGCATTCTGGAAATTAAAGGAGCTAGATCATGAAGGGTCTAATAGGACATATTAAGGATTTTTTCTTTTTTTTTTGAGACAGAGTCTCACTATGTTGCCATTGGTAGTGTCGTGATATCACAGCTCGCAACAACCTCAAACTCTTGGGCTTAAGCGATTCTCTTGCCTCATCCTTCCAAGTAGCTGGGACTACAGGCACCTGCCACAATGCCTGGCTATTTTTTGTTGCAGTTTTCATTGTTGTTTAGCTGGCAGGGGGCGGTTTTGAACCTGCCAGCCTTGGTGTATAGGCTGGTGCTGTAACCACCGTGCTACAGGCACCAAGCCTAAGGATTATGTTCTTTGTCCTAAGAACAATGGAAGCCTTGCTAGGTCTGTAGTAAGGGTAGAGACATGATTAGATGTAGGTTTTGAAGAGCTTTCCGGCTGTAGAATGTGAGAAAACCAGAATACAGGGACACCAGGAAAAAGGGTAGTGTAGTCAGATAGGTATGGGGTAGAATTTGGAATAGGGTGCCAACACAGGACATGGATAGAAGTGGGTGATTTTAGTACTAGTAAAGAAATCATGCCAAAAGGAACTGGTAAGAGTGGAAAAAAGTCTCTCCTAGTTAAACGTTGTTAGGTATGATCTATTAAATAGTATCAGTTTTGAAATGGTTGATCATACAGGACAGAAAGCAGATAATTGAGCATGTTTTATAATACACAGGATTGCTCTTACACTTAGGTAAGGGGCTTATGTATACTTGGCTCTTCTCCTGGGATAAAGGTCAAGGGGTCAGGCCTGCATGAAGCCTGCACTCCTTTTATAGACTGGCTAGATCTGAGGGCAGACTGAACTGCTGATTGTATACTACTTGCTATGTAGAGGATGTGGACATAAGCTTGGACATGTCAGGTGCACTTATGGTCTCTTTTGTTGGGGTGGGTAAAGAAGCTTCAGGGTGGGAAGAGAATGGAGTTAGTCCTCAGAGTCTTTAAACCTAGCTTGTGGATTTGCCAATGTAGTAGAATAGAATATATTCAATATAATAATTTGTTATCTTGATTTATAACTTTTAGATATTTAGACCTGAGGTCAGTCCCCAACCCCTGGGTTGCAGATTGGTACTGGTCTCTGACCTGTTAGGAACTGGGCCACCCAGCAGGAGGTCAGCTGCAAGAACTAAGTGTCATGGGTATTTACAGCCACTCCTCATCACTTACATCATAAGCCAGTAGCATTAGATTCTCCGAGGAATATGAACCATACTGTAAATTGCACATGTGAGGGATCTAGGTTGTGTGCTCCTTATGAGAATCTAATGCCTGATATCTGAGGTGGAGATGTATCATCCTGAAACCACCTTACCATCTTTTCATCCTGTCCATGGAAAAACCATCTTCCACAAAACCAGTCTCGTGTGCCAAAAAGATTGGGGACTGCTGATTTAGACATATGGTATGTGGGTCATAGGCACAGTCTTGCTCAGGCTCTGCAAATTTAGGGCCTGGCCTGATAACAGTGCACTATAGTTCAAAAAGTAACAGATTCATACAGGTGAGAGTATAATAGACTGGGTCCTTAGGAAGTCAGATTTTCCAAATGTTTTGTGGGAGAGGAGGAAATGAGCTGTACAGGTTTCCAGGTACTATATTAATTTACCTGTGTACAAGATACATTTTTCTGGATCAGGAAGGTCAATAATTAAGAAACTATTTAAACTGTAGGTGTTTCAGTGTGATTTTGAAAAGCTTCTTGAATAAGTTTAGAGTGTGGAATGGACCTTAGTGGTCATGTAATCAAATTTGCTCATTTAACAGATGAGAAAATAGAGATCCTGACAGGTGAAGAAGCCTAAGGTTGACTCACTAAGACCAGTGAGCAGAAGATTTGTAGCTCTATTCTCTATTTTCCTGCCAATGCTACTTTTCATGAAGACATCTGCTAACAGTAATTCCACTTAAAAAAGTTTGAATTTGGGCTCGGCACCTATGGCTCAAGTGGCTAAGGCGCCAGCCACATACACCTAAGGTGGCGGGTTCAAATACAACCCAGGCCCGCCAAAAGAACGACGGCTGCAACCAAAAAATAGCCAGGCGTTGTGGCAGGCGCCTGTGGTCCCAGCTACTTGGGAGGCTGAGGCAGGGGACTCGCTTGAGCCCAGG